GCATTACAAAGCTTACTGCTTCTTCTCTAAAATCGCCTCTCTGTGTTGGACGACAATGACGATTTCAACAGTCAGTTCCATGGTTTCTTTGAATCTTCTAACAAGATTCTATTTGTAGCTTGTGGAACGTCAGGGTCATGGGGAAGAGTATATAAACCTTACAAGATGATGACTAGGTTGGTGAGTTTCTAAGGGGATGTCTCATGTACCACATAATATACAGTTTCCTTTCGTAAATTCTTTGTCAAGTGATTAATAAAAAGGTTGGCGAAAATGCAGTACACCCATGTGGCCATGTTTTGCAGCAAGCTAATTTCACTGCAAAATGAACATCATACACTCATCTTCTGTATTAACAAAAATAGAGCATGAAATGATTGAGAGTAAGATGTAGAAATATCTCCCAATTATGACATTTTTACTGCACTCTTACATATCCTAAATGAATATAGGTCTTGCAATTCAACATATAATTCATTTAAATTGAAATTGCTTTAACTAAATAACTTTCAATCAACACTCACAACATATATATTTCTGGCCATTGACTGGGTGAACCAAACTACTCATATTTCATATGTAAAAGTGAGTACCCAAGGTAGCGAATAAACATAAACCATCATATAATATTAAACTAATAGAAAGATCTTTTCCTAGTTTTTTGAGCAGAGCAACTAAAAATAATTATCATTCATTTCTTTACCTGCAGTTTACCAATACTATCTATCAGTATATATCAGTACCCACAAAATATATATATATATATATATATATATACACATACCTATCTATTGAATCACTCGAAATTTGAAAATCAAATTAATTTTTAAATTATTATTATGAGAAGAAACATTCTGACGTAGAAATCAAGTAGTTAAAGGGAAAGGAAGAATTATTTTTTATTATATAGCAAATCATTTGATGTATCAACAACAACAATAATAATAATAAAAGAAACCTTCTAATGTCAAAACCAAATTCTGAAGCTATGAAACAGCTTGAAAGAATTCTTTAGAGCAAAAGAAAATATC